ATAAGGATGCTCTAGGGTGGCAAAAGTATTCTTAGATTGGAAGAGCAGCAAAAAAAAAAAAATCACAAGCAGAGAGAATGATACAGCCTCCCTGGATAGGCGTGAGCTGTGCTTGGGATTCTAGGTCCAGTGTGGACAAAACATATTAAATAAGGTGAATAAGGCATAGGATGAAGTCAGAGAGAGTGGGGACGTGGGGATCATGCAGGACCTCTGGAGTGAGAAGTGGAGAAGTTTGGATTTCATTTTTCGTGCAACAGGAGGCAATTGAAATGTCCTAAGTAGAGAAATGACATGTTCTAATTTATTTATTTGTTTTTATGACCTATCCCTCTGACGGGTGTTTGCGGGGTGGATAGGAAGGGAGTTGGAAGAGAAGTGAAGTCTCCAGTTAGGAAGGGAGAGATGGGAACGTGGGCTGGTGCCCATGGCAGTGGAGATGCCAGAGGTCGGAGGACAGAGTCCAGGGACCTTTGGGAGGTCAAACTAAAAGCACTTGTTGATGAATTAAATAGGATCACCCGGAAGCCTGGGAAGAAGGTAAGAGTGAGACAAAGAGTAGAATCAAGAACATCTCCTAAGTTTCCAGTTTGGGCAACAGGGTAGATGGTGGTATCATTTACAGAGCTGGGGATGATTGAAGGAGAGCATGGGTGGAGATCAAGAACTCAACAACAGTCCTTCTTACACAGGATGGATTTGAGGATAAGAGGATACACATGGATATCCTTCTGCACAGTTCCTAGCGCTTGTGTGCTCAATAGCCTATTGTTTTCCTGTTATTATTATTATTGTTCATGAGAGACTATCACTGGAGACACCAGATGCCCTTGATCAGTAAAGACAAGATAATTCCCTTGGATGCAACAATCATCTTTTTATTTTCTCCAATGGAGAATAAATATTACTTTTGAAAACCCCGCAGGGGTGATAGAAGGATGGGGTAGGCTCATGTGTGCCTCAGGCAGCATCAATCACGCTTTCAGCCAAGTTTTGATTACAAGATCTTTATTTCTGGCAGCGAGGTAAGAAGCAGAAAGAGCGCAGCTGGATTTTCGGCCCTAGGTGGACACCACAAGTTCTGGAAGTTGGAAGAGGCATCTTCTAACTTGGAAATTGTGGTGATTTGTCTGGAGTCGTTAGAGGGAGAATAAATACAAACCTTCCCCTACCCCCGACTCCTCATGGTAACCGTTTACAGAGCAAGCTGTCTGGCTGTAGCTGTCCTGTTTGGTCTTTGCTAAGCGTCCAGCCATTTGGCCGCTCTTGTCAGCTGGGGTACTCTGCTCTCTGCTTTCTACACTTACGGCTTATTTTGACTAGCATAGGAAAGTAGCATCGATATTAAAGTAGTTCGCCAACCTGGCCTACATAGTAAGACTGCTGACAAACTTTAAAATACAGGGTGTGAGGCCAGTTCCAGGAGATTTAGGCAATCTGTGTTTGTTTTTTGTGTTTTTTGTTTTTTAATACAGTTCCTACATGATTGTGATGGGGCTGATCTACCAACGCCACTTGGAAACCATTATTCTAATGGTTGGGTGTTATGTTATGATTTCAACACTCTGAATTCTATTCTTGCTTTTGCCAGTGACTTGCTTGCTGTGTGGCATTGGGCAAGTCACCCCATCGTTATTAGCGTGCAGTTTCCTGCCTGTAAAATGAGATGTTTTAGCCTCCCTTACTCTACTGGGATGAAGAAAGCATAGAGAGCTGATGGTGAGTGAGCATAGACCATTTCATGGGAAAGGCACTTGCCCTAGACTGTCAAGGAAGCCTTGGAACCTCTGTCCTGGTGAGGGCCTGCCTGTGTGCTTTGTCTTGTACCCAACGCCATCATTCTTTGAAATGCAAACCTAGTCACTTCGCGACTTAAAAAGTATCGCTTAGCTTTTGATTCACACACTTCTTGTGAAGGAGTTGGGCCATTATGAATAAACTAATTTTCTTCATTAAGGATTTGATGAAGGCCAGAGGTTACTCCCCCAAATCATCAGACTAGATGAAACGCAGAGGCAGTTTTGGTACCACTGGAAGTTAAAGTCCTGCCGTTGCTAGAGGCTTCGGTCCTCCTCAGGGACCCTACGTGGAAACCACAATTCCTAGAGCTGGGAGGAGCAGAGGACACCCTGAATTCCTACCGCAGTCACAGCCCCGTTTTGAACAAAATGGCCAGAACCAGCCCATGGCATTCAAGTGCCAAGCTCCATATCATGGGATCTCAAGATTCATTCTGTAAGCGGGTATAGGAGGGTATAGACAGGCATCGACATGGGGCCAGTGAGACAGTCCTGGCTATTCGGCCATGAAGGATTGACCAGTCAAATGATTTGTGAGAAGTCTGAGGGTGGGACCCAAATTGTGTGATCTGATTGAGTGACAGACCGAAGCCAGCCCCTGGATAAGGGGGAAGAAACTGTGAGGAGACTCCGTGAGGTTGAGGGGCATAAGAACTCCTGTAGAAAGGAAAGGAGATTTCCTAGGAACTCAGGACTGTCTCCCACCCCCTCCCGACTCCTGCCTGTAGTGCCTTCTCTGGGCTCCAGGGGCGCCAGTGAGAGCCGTGCCGCTTCCCCTGCTACCTTCCACACTTCGACTTCCCTTATCAGCGACGTGTCTGCTGGTTTACAGCGCAGGGCCTGTCACGTTGTCCAGGTACCCCCCACAGCACCCAACTCACTCTTCCCCAGCCAAGTCTGATCCCTCTACCCTCACCCTTGAGGTTATTAAACTGGCAGCGAAATATATGAAATCGGCATTCTTGAGTGGCTCTCCACTCTAGGCAAGGAAAGGGCGGACTGTTTCCACAGTTCAAGTGTTCCAACCAGTTCAGAGAAAAATACCACACGAAGTCAAAATATTGTCATCCTGGCCAAGCAAGGGTTTTCCTTTATAACCATGCTGACATGCAAGGCTTACAGCCTTGCCTCTCCCCTGGTATCTGTGGTATTGCCTGCTCTCTCCAGCTGGGGGTGTCAGTTCAGCAGAGGGAGAGGAAGAACTTCATCAGTGGGAGGTGGAAGAAAGGAGAGAGTCCCTGGGAGGTTATAAACTCTGTGGTGTGAAAAATGAGTAGAATATTCAGTCCGGGAGAGGGACAAAAAGGAACTTCGTTATAGTTAAAAAGAACTGCAAGCCCTTCCTCGAAAATAGATTCAAGAAGATATTTTTAAATGTCATCCTTCTTTAGAGAAAGAAGCCATATACTGAAGAGTGCCTAGGGTGTGATTTCATTTATAAAAAGTTGAAACACAGGCAAAAGCAATCTATGCTGAGGAAAGTCAGAATAGTGTGGGGAGGTTCAGCTGGGAAGAGGACTTCTAAGGGGCTTAGAAATTCTCTGCATCTTGATCAGGGTGATGATTACCCAAATGTATTCCCATATGAAAATTTCTTGCGCTGTGTGTTAAGATTTGTGCAGTTTTCTATGTGTCATTTTATACTCAGTGCAAAAATTTCAAATGAATCTTTTTTTTTTCGCCACACTTATAAATGGGGCATCAGGATAAAGGGCTGTTCAATAGGCTAGAGACATTATTGATATTCAAAGTGGATTGTAGAACATGAAAAGCGTGATTGAACCTGACCCAGGTTCAAGGAGCTGACCTAGCTCCAAGTCCTACCTGCAGCTCTTCCTGCGGACGGGCATTTGAGCGAGCTTTCAATCTCTCAGGCTCAGTTTCCCTCCCTGAAACGTGGATAATAATATTTATTTTTAACTGCCGTTTGGAGGATTCAATGACATGATAAACGTAGGTGTCTTGCCAAACACCTGAAATACAGCTCAAAAATAGTATTTATTATTCACAGATAGTAGATGTATGTCCACATAAACTATGATGCTAACAAATTCTAGTCGTAAAGTCAGATTTCTATCTTAAAATATTACTGAGAATAAAGCCATAACTAAATAACTGATACTAAACACCACAAATATCTAAGTGGGTATTGTTAAAATATGTTAAGCTATTCAAATATATCTAAATTATTTGAAATCAGCTGCATTCTGTGCTGTAGGGTGTTGGCCTAATTACTGAACATCTCTGAGTATGTTTCATCTACAAAATGGGAGTGATGC